GTATGAATGATTACAAACCTTGAAGCGCTATTGTAAACGTACAAGTAGCATTATTGCCAGCAGAGTCCATAGCTGTAAATGTGTAATCTATTCGTTGTCCGAGTCCAATTTTGCTTGGGAATAATGTTGAAGGATTCGGCGATATGGCAATATTTTCTCCAGAGTTGTCGGTTACAGATATTAAACTTGAATAGTCAATTTTTTTGAAGTCAGGAAAAATGACAGTATAAACAGTCTCGTCAGATGGACATCTAAACACCGGGTCTTCATTATCTTTGGAATATATAATTAATATATATCTCATATTTAGTCAAATATTTAATGATCAAATCACTAGTTTGCTCTATTAAGTATAATAGAAATGTGTCAAAAGCAATTGCGTATGATAAATAATTTAATTAAGCATCAATATTATTTGTTAGGCTAAATATGGTAGGCCTATGTTATGATAGTATAAGCTTTGCCTCCTAAACTAACAGCTTAAACAAAATCTGAAGGCCTACATAAGATAACCTAAGATAATGAATGAGAGCAAAACTGAACTAAGTAACCGAAAATGATTAGGTAAAAGACAAAACAATGATGGTTGTTTTTCGAATTTTTTATTAGGACTATATAGTACAATAACCATGCTATTTCTAAGCGTCAGTGGTCGCCTAATGATTTTTCAGAGTACCGATGTCCCAGACGAGAGCATACGGTACCGTATGTCCGTAGTCGGAGTCGCTCAAAATATTTTTTCCCTCGTATTGTTTTTTTTTCTCATTGAAGGCGGAGTGGGGCAGCTCTCCACGACAAAGTGCCTTGTCCCTCCACCCCACTGGCGCCCATTATGTTGAACGTTGGTAAGGCCTAACTACTATTTTCATTTCTAATGCGCACACTTTTAAAACTATAAATTATCACTAACCTTGGATTATTACTGTGACCGTGCAAGATGAGGCATTATTACCAGCAGAATCCTCAGCTATAAATGTGTAAACTGTTGATCCGATTCCAATTTGAGTTGGCAATGTTATATTAGGCCTAATTTCAAAGACTAATTCCCCAGAGTTGTCCGTTATAAATATGAAACTTGAAAAATCAACCCACTTCATAGAGGAATTCGAGTCAGTATCAAAAGTTACGTCATTAAGTGGACAATGCAAAACCGGTTCCTCTATATTTGTAAAAAAAAAATGGTTTAAAGCTGTCATAATATTTCTTTAATTTTTCAATCAAAATAAATCTTTTTTTCTTTTAAATATTATAAAACGAAATGTAAAGCAATATGCGGCGTATGATGAATACATCAGATATTCAATAATTACTTGTTAAGCTAAATGATAAAACATATCATTATTTTATAAAATAAAGATGTGTACGCTATGATGACATAGGATAAGGTTTTGCACATGAAAAAAAAAAACAAATTCAAAATACGTATGAATAAATATACAAGAACAGTGTAGTTACTGAATTGAATTTTGTAAAGGAAAGTTATAAGCATTCGTGAATTTTATGCCATTGTGACACACCATTGATAAAATAAATATGTTAAGAGACCTTGGCTCTTAGTGAGGTAAAGGTTGGACGTTGGGTCAAAACGGTGACCGTCGACAAGCTGAGAACTAATGAAAAGTACCGTACCAATCATGTTAACCGACACAAAGTTTTAAACATTACAACTGTAAGTAGGTTGTAACGTCAGTTTGTAAGTAATATTTCTAATCAGTATTTACTAGTATAATGACTCTTATGTACAAAGTAAAAGTAAAATACTGGTAAGGCATATATTGATAATTTAGCAGGCCTGAATATTTCAATATCATGCAAGTGTAATTTATATTCATTTATTTACCACACTTTTTATAGGCCTAATAACGTGCTTTTCATTATAATTCATGTTCAAAGGCACTTTGCATGATAAAAATACAAAATAAAAAACACAATTCAAATCAATTCAAAGGTAAGCCTTTAACGTACTTTTGATGTATATAAATATGTTTCCAGAAGTTCGATCTACATAAGAAGACATGAAACAAGAGCAATAATGCCATAGATTGCATACCTCCGCCACGTGTTTGCCTGAATTGTATGATAGGCGAAACCGCATCATACCATGGAAGAATAAATTAATTCCTCCATGATCCTACCCTCTCTCCAGGTACATTATTTTTTTGCCTGAATACGAGGGGCGAATACATTATTTTATTTTATGCTCGATAGTAAATATTTGAGAATAAAGAAAAATACAACAAAAAGTATAGAACACTATCGAGGGATCTCAAAGGCAATAAACAAACATTCAATTATTTTTTATTTCATTCCTTTAGGCACATGGCCAAGAATTACCAATACCGACTTAATAATTGTCCTATTAGATAGGTGGCAATCCCATGACAAACATATACATAAAATAAATCTCGTATTAAAACTTCAGGAGTGGAGTTTTGTCATAAGAAAAAATCTGACAGGATTTGAACCCAGGACTCTTGAAGGCCAGCAAAGTTACCCACCAAGCTATTCAACTCCAAAAAGAAAACACAAGATCAAAACAACAAAATACATAGTAAGATATATAAAAAGAGAAGTAGGTAATAAATATTTGAATATAGTTTATTCTTTGATTATTATGTACCATTCAACTTAAATTTATATTTATTAGTTTTTGCTTAATCTTGCTGACAGCTAGCACGACAGACTGCAGTGAATACATAACCTCCTTGAAAGAGGTAATACGTGGAACTATAACTTACCGGCCGCTTTGCACATAAAATAATATGCAGCAGAAAAATAAAATAAAACTGTACTCTTCCACACTACCATTTCAATTATGACGGCACACTTCCAAAAATTTTAGATTTATTTCTTGCACGAAACGATACAAACTAAACCAGTTGTCTATCGTACTCCATCTATTGAAAAAAGTACTATACTGCATGTTCGTTATTTGTTAGTAATGTATCATATGAAGCGTTAGCTCGGTATGCTATTAAAAATTGTTTTTTATATCAAGATAAAATTTAAAAATCATTATTTTTAAGAAAATCTATTTCGATTTTGAAATAGGACAATAAATATGATTAATTGTTGCTTCAACTTACAAGGCTATAAATTATTAAAATTTAATTTTCATTAGCCTCAAAGTAAATCAATTATATCGATAACAAGCATGAGTACAACTATATTAAATCATTTTATTTTAAATTCATGCTTTCAAAAATAATAATAAAATTGAAAATTTGTAACAAGCCAAATAAGCGCCCCATATGAAAAACAATTCTATAACATTCAAATACAATAACAAATAACATAAACAGAGGAACCAAGAATCTTAATTCCAGAGGAACCTTTATAAATATAAAAATAAATGTATTCGAAAGTAAGGCTTACGATTGTATTTACCCGCTGTCTAGCATTTTTATTTTGAATCATCGTTTTTTGGCAACCTGATTTTTGTTTTACAAAAAAGACACTCTTTAATTTGTCGGAATATTATGAAAAAACATCAAGAAGATGCAAGAAAACCGAATTGGACTTTCTACAATGCTTACCCCGCATTAAAATAAATACATTAAATAGTAAATGTGAAATATTTTTCTGGCTGGATTGGTCTTCTTTTTTTATTACATTTGATTAATATTAATATAATAATCATGAAAAAATAGTAACACCATAAGAAAGTGGAACGCCTAAAACTATGCTTATTGGCAAAGAACTTGAATAGGCCTATGCCAATTACGATATTTCTGACATAATATCGATGATCTTAGTGAAAATACGGGAAAATTGACTTAATAGAAATAACAATTGCTTGAGAAAATTATTACGACAACCTGGTTATTTTAGTGCACGTGCATATTTTATAAATAACTCTTCTCTCTTTTCAAGGATTTATGGGGAAATTCATGTTATTTTTCACACAGGTCTATTGTGCTACTTTAATGAGAAGAATATTTTTTTTTATAAAAAATGGAAGAGAGCTTATTAATATCTTTATAAATGTGAGTGACCAAAAATTTACTTTTTTTTTCAATAAAGAAGTTATTAAAAAAATTATATTAGAAACATTTTTTTAGCTTAAATGAAATTCGATATAAGAAGTTATTTTAGGCCTACAGGCGATTTTTAATAGCATTGTGGATTTTACAAATGTATTAATTGCTTATATACTGAGAAATGCAGCTCGTAATAATATTTCATCAATATCTTTATTTTGTTTCACTGGTGAACAAGGACGGATCCAGGATTATTCGTAAGGTGGGTTGTGGTGGGGGAGCAGCTAACAATTGGATGGTTTGAATCAACACCTACCAGCTCAAGGTAAAAAAAACATATATTAGACCAAAAGCAATGGATTACATACGTCCAGATATTTTCAATAATCAACAGTTCTTTTTGAATAATCCATGTGGTATACCACCAACTATAAAGCAATTTTGAGAATATAGACCTGTAGGTGCCCGAAAATTGCATTCTGATACCAAATTTAACTGGCGGTAGGTAGGGGGTGCGTGAGAGTCTGCACCTTCTCAGCCCCACCCCATGGTTGGGGTTGAGATGCGAAAATGTTGAGAATATGGATCTCTAGGTGCTCGGAAATTATACTCTCATACCAGATTTAATTTCATTTATTTTCATATCAACAATACATTAAAACAACAATGTTTCTTAATACAATTCAGGGGGTGTTATTGCACCGTCTGCACTGCACCCCCTGCATTCTTCCTAGAGTTTACGCTGTTTTATGGGACCTCAACAGTGATGTCAAAGGGTCCATTATTATCAATTATATTGGCTTAGCTGGCATCGGTTACTCTCGTCATCGGTTAATGTTTCCAGTCCTTGTCTTGACAAAGAAACCAAAACTAGCAATATACAATTTTATTGAATTGTTTTGTGTACACTTGCTTATTTAATATTATATTATCTCAATGGCTTTCATAAGTCTCACCTAACCTCATTATGAATGTTTTAATAGCGTACGCAGGACGTCCACATATAGGAGATCAATTTGAGTTGTTATTAAAAATTTGTTGTCGGATATCAGACCGCCTTTGAGCATGATTTATAAATATGGTGAATAAATAAAGTCCGACTTGTGTGTTGAACACAATGTCCTTAACCGTATATATCCCGACGATATTATGTACCGGTAAGTAGTTCATTATCTATTGCTTTATTTTTTTCTTGGAGTTTTCTTCTCTTTTGTGGGGTAATCCTACTTTTATTTTACCATCGTTTTTCTGATGTTCAATTTCAATATTATAAACACTGCTAAATAATATTATGAGACAATTACGAAACAATAAGATATAGCATACAATGTGACCTTATATGTGAGCTAATATATAGATAAAAACCTGCAAATCAGTAAATTGCAATTATTATTTAAAACGTTTGACATTGTATATATTATTTGGTTCAGCTTAGAAAAGTTTGAAGTGACTCGTTGAGGGCTTTTGTTTTACAACAGAACATACTGCCCTTCTACAACTTTAGAGATGATATTGAGTACCGACAACTTTTATTTAGATAATTCTATTATTTCTTATTATTGTTTTTCCTCGATTGTTTTGTGCTTCTGGATTTTTAAGTACCTTATATACCAGTTTTATAAGGTCATCTTCGGCCCTTTGAAATCGGGGCCTAAATAGCATCTTTTGTCATGATTCTAATAACTTTTTTTGTTCTTGTTTTTCTTTTTTTCCTTTTTTTGCGTTTGATAATGCATGAAGACGGTACACTGTGGTATACTCTATATAAACGGAAGACCATTACCATTTTCTATTTTTTGTTGTGTACTTTTTGTCCTTTCAGCTCTTCTTAGCAGTTGTCTTTCTGTAGAAGTGAACGTGTTTGCACAGCCGAGCATGCCTGTTAATGAAAACCAGACAACATGGTTGATGTACGCCTACATAAGATCTCGTCCAACATCTGCCAAGCTTCCGTTTGTTACATGGATAAAAATTATAAATGTCGATACAAACCATACCATAGCACTGTATGAATATGGAAATGGTATTATAAATGAAAATTACAGAGAAAAGATAAGCATTGACGAATCTGGAAACCTGTACCTTAATAAGGTAACTCGAGCAGATGGTGGAATATATATATGTGAGGTTGAAATAACCGATGATCAACCGAAAATTGACTCCGGTATAGTGAATGTTACAGTTTTATGTAAGTACGCAGGTCTATGTATTTAGAGGTATTTTTATTTGTAAACAAACATATACCTTAATCGGTCTATCGATTTGGTGGGAAAAGAGTAGGCCTGTTTAGCAGAACCTTTGTTACCCTTTCAAATTGCATAAATGACTGTGTTATGCAATTATAAGTCTTTTCCATACAATTTTATTTTGTTATCATTTTTTCATTCAATAGACTACTCCATTATTAAACTACTAAATATATTTATATATTTAAGTGGTGTATAAGAAATTGTTTTGTCTTTAAAACTGTTAGGCTTATCTAATGTTTCTCTCGAAAAAATGGTTTATCAATAAATACCGGTACACACTCTGCATCGGCTGACGGTTAGGAATCGTCTATGGAGATCCCAAAACGACGAAGCACGCACGAAGAATTGTCTTTAGCGATTTTCCGCTAAGACTGCCACACAAAACATACAGATATCAGGGCACGTGATCTTACGAACACTTTAAACTTTTAGTACATTACTTTAATATTTACTATAATATATGCAAAAAAACGAAAATGGATTCGTTGACAATCGGATCACCGAAGGCCGATACATTGTGTACCTAGCAGGAAGTGTTAAAAATTTTTTCTACAGAGTGTAACAGATAAGAATTTTTTTGGTGTGAACACACCATGGGTAGCCGGGTCCGAAGACTTGCATCCAGTGAGGTCCTTTTAAGAAGAACATGAGTGTACGGTACCTCAGAGAGCGTCGTACGACTCCGCCCGACGCGATCTATATAGTCGTCGAGGACACTCTTTTATCGTCGTTAAAACAATGACATTAAATAGAGAACATGAAGATACAAATTTATAGAAAACATCATATTTTAAAATTACACATGTATTACATCTTCCACGATATTTTTTGTTTTAGACATAGATGCACCTACAATCCATGTACCTACAAATGTGGTAGATGGTAATATGTTGAAAATTGTATGCTACAGTGGTGCTGCTAAGCCCAATCCAAAATTGATCATTTACAAAAATCATCAGTCGATAGTTTCTAGGATTGACGCCACTCTAAGCTACATCACCAACAATGTAACACTTGAGGACTCTGGTAACTACTTTTGTAGTGCAAGCAATGACGCAGGAAGCAAGAATAGTGACACAAAGAGACTTAATGTTCAATGTAAGTTGAATTTTATTATCTAAATTACCTAAGTTAAGTTGAATAGCGTGGTGATTAAGGTGCTTAGTTAAATTGCTTGTGGTTAAGATGCTTCACATGGTCCTGGGATCCATTCCTGTCACGGCAACATGTTTTTTTTCCCACGACCTAAACAATTCCTCTCCCTCCCTAAGCCACAAAATGAGACTTAGTTTGTGTAAAGCATTTTGTTATGTGTTAGTCTTGTGAACCGATTGCCACTTAGTAAAGTGATTAATTTCGATATTGGCATATCCTTAGCCCTAAGCCTAAAAATAAATAATAATAAGACAATGATGACGATGATGATTAATCATCGTGTTTAGGTATTTCGCAATTTTACTATTGAAATGTATTTAAGGGAAGGTTTCTTCCCAATTCAAGGGCCCTGGTTCAGATACCAGGAACTTTTTTCAAGACCAAAAACTAATTTACTCTAAACGCCTCATAATGAGCACCTGGTAGGCTGAAATGAGCATGCCTAGTGGAAGGTGATTGCCACTTCATTTCGTCATTACAATACGTGGTTAATGTGGCTATTATATTTATTGTTAATGCCTCTATGTTTCAGATATCGCTGAGAACATCAGTTTTAGTAGTACAGTTTCTCAAAATATGCTGTCAATTAGATGTGAAGTAAACGCTGACCCGTCCCCAAAATATACATTATACCAAGACAACAAAGCAATTAAAAGCGAAATCGGAGATGTTATGGAATATAACATTGACAATGTGAAACTACAAGATGCTGGGAATTATTACTGCATGGCGACGAATATTGTAGGGATCGTGAAGTCTGAAACTTTAAGCTTTTCTGTTGCATGTACGTATATGATAGGGAGAACTCCTTTTAATACTAGGCTTATTGCTGTCTCTTATACACATCTAGATGTGTATAAGAGACAGCTTTCAATTCCATTTTCATTAATCCAGTTTGTTAGACATTAACTATTGACTATTCTACTGGAGTTGTCTGTGGCAGTAGATAGGAAAGCAATATTCCTGATTATTACTTATGAAAGTAGTTATTTTGACTTTCTTTCATCTTGAATATCGGCCTAGTGTATCAAGAAAAAAAATCGTTGAAGAATAATGAATAGTTTGTATACGTTCATAGTTATTTCTTGTAATCTGTGTACCTTCCAATTGAATTATTTATTTTCTTTTTTAAATTTAACAAATACAGTATTTTTTTTAATCACAAGTTTTGATACAAACACTTATTGGTGCAATTGATAATTTCACTTAGGTTAATAGAGACTGAATTTCTCAGAATCCTTTTGATATATTTAACCTATTCCTCAAAAAACCAACAACTAGATTAAAACATGGAAATGTGCGTTTACAATATCTATTTCAAAATCCTATAAGTTATCCACTTCTAACGAGACACAAAATTATTGAGTTTT